TCTCCCCACCATTCATTGCTTTCAGTTGAGCCATTAAAAATATATCTTGTTCAGATCTAGAGAGAGCTTGAAATGCTCCACGTAATTCGGCAAACTTTTCTCTCGGAATTATTTTCGAGCAACCACATTTGCAACCTATCTCCAAGAAACGCATGGCTTTGTCATATTCAGTCGAACCATTGTATTCATTATTTTTCATATACAGTTAATTCTATATATATATATATATATATATATATATTTATAGTGCATTTCGATTTATTGTTACTTCTTGTGCTCTAACCTCTGGTTATTTTCTAGTTCCGGTTTTTATGCGTGTCAAAACCATATATTGAAGCCATAGTGACATTGGTGTGTCCTCTCATGCATGCAGCTACTTGCAGTCCTGACCTTGGTCTATGAATTCAGCAAACACAGGATAATACAATGTAAACGTAACATCTGGGCAATCCGGTCAGAGATCTTCCAATTTAGGATCTAGTCTTTGCAGTAAGACAACGGAGATGGCATGATTTTCCAAATTCATCTCCGCAGCTTCATGGGTGATTTGAAGATGTACTTGCCTTGAAAGTGGTTCAAGAATCTCTGCTTGAGTAAAGAAAGCTGAAGCATAAAGCAAGTAAAAGAGAACAATGACTAATTTCAGCTTCAATAGATAATATCAGTTGAATAATGGCAAAAAAGCAATGTGAAAAAATTTTCTTGTATGATTTAATTTCTTCATGCACAAATTTCATAAAAAAAAAAAAGCTAATGCAGCAACTAAACGACCACTAAATTCTGAAGTCAACACAGTGGAAGCAATGCATCGCACAGAAACAAGTATTATGCAGGCTTTCCGCAGTTCTTAATCATTTTCACCTTCTAGGTCTACCACCCTCTCCAGGAGCCAATAAATTCGTTCAAGCACCATTGCCACCTCTTTTTCAAGGTCCTCGTTCTTGTACCTCACCCACAGGGGGTTAGAGAGTTTGAAGGCTGGTATGCTGTTATTCAGCACACATTCCAAAAAATACCATTTTTCAGCATCGGTTACGATGCCGAAGCACCGGTTGGGAGACGACTTCTCCAGCATCTCATCGGCCTTGCGTATGCGGGTGTTCTGTCAAAATGTAGTGATTTAGAGTGATGTACTTTAGAGCAATGCACTTTAGAGGGCCGTACTCACCAAAGCTGACTCGAGCTGCACAACGTTCTGGGCAATGCCCTTCTTGAAGTCGTCCCGCTTTACTTCAGTTACTCCCACCATCATCCCATTGCATGCATCGAATGCATAATCCACAGGTCCCCTCCCGTTCTTCCCTGTAATCTGCCTCTCTGGACGAAGTATGAACTTTCCTTTGAAAAGATTTACTGCAGCAAGCAGATACGGATATGTGTAAATTGATTTAATCGTTTCCTTCGCTTGATTGTAGGGGGTGCCCTTGATCCGTGCATTCAATTCCGCTAGGAGCTGCTTGAGCACAGCCTGCTCCAATTCGTCGTCAAGGTTTTTGATGCCAGGCTCGAAAGTCGGGAAGATGTCTGTAAGCGATGGATCATTGTATGCAGAGAGCTCATAGTGGCGGCAGACTTCCCTAAAACTCCAGTCACTGAAGGGTTTACAGGGAGTTTCTATTGTCACCGTCATCATATGGATATTTTTGGCAACCAGTAGCCGCAGCAGTTCCCGGAATTGAGTGTCTGTTCTGGGATAGTATGTGTCCTTTGTGTCCATTGTCAAATCAAAGACCACGTCTTCTTTATCCTCCTGAGGGTACTTGTTGAAGATGGCATTAGCAAAGGTCACCAGCGTCACGGTCTCTAGGTTCGCGATCCACATGAAAGACTTTTTCTTTGGTTTCACAATTAGCTCAAATTCTAAGCAAAGGCATAGAACACAATTGTTAACTCCTATGCAAATTTGAAACCCTTTGAACGAACATACCATGGACAGATTTCTGGAACTGCACCCGTAGATCATCGAGTTGCTTTAATAAAGCCTGCTCATGGCTAGGAGTCAAAGCAGTACTGTCTAGGATGGACGAAGGATGGACAGAAAACGATTCGCATATTCTACGAGTTAGCCAGTCTAAGTATACACTACTCTACTACTACGTCCCCAGCACCTGAGTCACAAACTCGTTACCTTTCTCTTTTTCAGCAAGAATTTCCAGCTGTTTCTGACCATAAACTTCTTTTGTAAGAAGTCCTTGTTCAAACCGTTTTTTCAAATTTGCAAGTTTGCTGTCGGTGAAATCCATTTTTCGTTTCATTGTGAAAGAATAAAATGTGCTGCGCGCGATGTGATCTAATACCGTAATATACTAATGCTGATCAACAAATGTGCTTAAGCAATCTTTTATCATGACTATAAAGAACGATCTTTGTTTATAGATCATTCGATCAGTGGAGGCCTTTTACGTTAAACTGTTTCCCTTTACCTTTCTTCAAGTTTTCGTTTCTTTCTTGGTTCATCATGTGTAGGGCATTGTTTCAAAGATCAGACGTTGTCTTCGGCTTATGGGTTGGGTTTGATGCCAGTTTTCTGTTCTTTGAACTTTGGGATATGTTACGAGCTTCATGCTTGGTGCCATTTTATGTCATATCTTGGACATGTATGCGTATCTGTCTGAAATGCATTACTCCAGACCTGCGATTATGAGCAACGTGGTGCACTGATTTTGCATCCCATAAACGGTTAGTATTAGTTATACTAATTTTAAGTTTAACATCCGGATTCAATCGGTAAAGTTTTATGCTGCAAAACATTACATAATTAAAAAGTCAAAAACTAATGCATATACAAAGGGGGGAGAAATTCGAGGTGATTAAATTCCTTTATGGGTGCCTTGGAATAAAGTAATTTATCCAAAATCAAAACCGATTATAATCCCATATTATCAGGTTTGTCTCCCGGAGAGACAATAGCGGTATAGTTTATGAAATGCAAAAAGTGCTAGTTAGTGAACCGTAAATTACAAAGACATTATTACACAATACGTAATGAACAGAACATGTGCAATGTTCAAATGTTGTCTATGACAAAGCAAGATGAAAGATTTTAATGGGCTTTTATCAAACCGTTCCTTATACAACATTTTTATACTCACATGTGTTTACAGCTCGGTTCAGATTCCATGCGGACGACGGTTATTTGTCGTTGTGTACAGTAATTAATTAAATCACATGAAGACAAATGTAGCTTATGGGTTAACTTCGAAAAATAACTTCACAAGCAAATATAGTAGAAATAATGGACAAAGTCTTACTTTCAAGCTTGGCATTACGGTGCTTGGTATAAATAAAGAATATTTCTTGTATTTCATTGAGAATAGACCAGTGCCTATGTAATCATTATTCTAAGTCACACCGCATAAAACGAGATTATAATTCAAATTCCTCATGATGACTTGACTAGTGCTGGCGAGGTTACATACTTGTGATAGTAATAATAAAGATAACAACATACAAAAAAATACGCTCGCTTATCAACAATGTTCGCATTAACGATGAATGAAATATGCGTTATCAGGATAACGATATTGCCTATAATCAATCATTTTTACACCAGTTGGAAATGTTTCAACTTTCATGTCACGTTCCATAGCATCTAACTTTTCTTCCGAATATAAACAAACCCAATAAAGACTTATCGATGACTAAATAAATCAAGGTTAGAATAATTGAATACATTTTATACTAAGTCGTTGAAATAAATATGCCATACTTACACTGTTAGCCAATTCTATAACAATGTCATCTTCAGACAAAACGTTAACTGCGCATGGTAAAACGTATTCAACAAGGAAGTAGTCGTTATGCTCAATGTCCGTCTTATATTGTATTTTTTCATTTATTGTTGTCTACAAATCAAATGTTCATATTTATTATGCAATTTAGATTAAACAATACGTATTTTGGTACTTACTAAAATTGTACTTGTCATCTTCAAATCATTCCACAACAAAATGCTGAGTTTGTATTTATTTGGAGGTACTTGGAATATGGGTATCGTTACCTAATATACAATCGTTTATTGATTAATATTCACAACATTGTACAAAACAGTAGACTATTGTATTGATAATTAACCACTTACTTTATTGGATCCAGTAAGGCGCAAAAAATACCCATAACTATTAAATATTACATTAGTAACAATATTTTTATAACAATAGGTATTATTATAAATTACTTACTCCCCGTATCTACTCCAATCTTCAATGTGACTTTCAAATGCAAAATGTGCTTTCAGATGGCCTATAATAATAATAAATATAAAGTAATTTAGTATGCATAATATATGAATTTATGCAATCAAGTGTAATAGTAACCCCTTACTTTTGTGCATATAGTATACTTTTTCATAGAACGCGCCTGTATACTTGTAATTACGTGGAGCATTATTATACTCAGAATGCCAAGTTACAGCAGTGTTGTTCCATCTTGTGTAATCATCTGTTCCATACTGATGGGTACACAGTGATTGCCATTGATTGATATCATTTAACTCATACATTGCTTGATGAGGACAACTATCCACAAGAATTTTAAACCATTCTACATCAAAATGCTCATTGTTTACAAATTTACCAATAACATTAGATGCCAAACATTGTAGATTTAGACGCCTAATATGCTCAATATCTTGTTCAGCCCCTTTCTTATTCCCCAAACCTACATGTGCCATTAAACTTAAATACCAAGCATCATCATAAATCATGTTTACTTCAATAGCTGTTTCAGTATCAAGCAGGGCTTTTCCAAAATTTTTCATATCCGACTTAATTTTTGCTCTATTACACAGTGCCACATAATTTGTGGAATCAGCTTGTAGTATTTGCATATAGATGTTCAAAGCCTTTTCCAACTTCTTCTCATAATATGCACTTTTAGCTTTTTGAAACAACTTGTCTATATTTGGTGTTGTTAATGATCTCCAAATTGAACTCCAGGTAGATTCAGAACTAGACTTTCTTCTTCTCACTTTTTGTTTTTTAAGGTCATCACACTCATCAAATATTTTTGCATCTGCAATGCTTCCAGAATTAGCATTATAGATGTCTTGATAATCAGTGTTTGTAATATAATGTTGAACATTGTTATATATTGTCTGTTGTGGCATGTAATACACTTTATCCTTTCTAATTTCACTTC